TTATTAGTTTTTATTACTAGCATTGTAGGTAACATTCTAACAAAAATACCAAAATGTAAAATTGGCAGATTATCGAAACCGATTAATCGGTGGAAATGGCCGATACCGATTAATCGGCTAAGTGGCCGATACGGCCGATTACCGATTACTTACCGATTAATCGGTGCATCCTTAGTATAGATTCAACATTAAAAAGTATTGAAAATTCTACTTCTGTTTGTTTCATGCAGAGGCAATTTCGTATTATCAAAAGTAAATGAAATGAGGCATTATATTTTTTATATTAGTATCATAAGTGCATAATGAAACATATTTACATACGTCAATGTATTATAGGTAGTTGTGCGTATGAAATTATTGTTTCCTATTGTTTCGATTTTCCTGTGCTATTGTTTTGAAAGAAATTCTACCGCAATTCTTTATTTTTCATTTTCGTCTTAAATAGTAAACTTCTGATGATGAAATATTAATTTTTGAATATAAAAAATAATTAATATTATACCGAATTTTTCTTATTTCTTCATTTATAAACGCATTTCCTAAAATACTCAATTTACTTCTTCAACTTTCGTTCTTTTCACGTGGAAAATTTATAAAGTTTTTTGACATTTTACTAAGGCAGTGAGTAATAAATTTTTCCGGCGATCGAATTTTACATTGAATACTAAATGAATTCCTAAATGTTCTTCGTCATTAATAATATTCTGTTATTGACAAATCTAAAAATATAAGAAAATAGAAAAATATTTATGATGTAAACCATTAATTTTAAAATATTCACAAATGTTATCACGTTGTATTAAAATAAAATTTACTTTAGATTTATTTATTACTTTCTCGACTCTTATAAACGAAAGACATAAGTATGGTTATCGGTCAAAAAAGAATTCCTAAGATTTTTACATTTTTAGACTCGGTGGACCATGAAACGTCCAGAAACGAACAAAAGAAAAATTTGAGATTATTTCTGTGTATAGATGTTTGTATGTGTCTGGTTTTCTTCGCACTGTAAGCTTAATATGTCACGTGCTTTTCGTTGAAAATGTTTGAAATTTTGCAGAGGTTTGTGCATTAGGAAGATTGATGCTATTAAGTTTTGGTGTTTAATAGTAGAAGAATAAGAAAAAAGAATACCGAGATCGTGCGTCACATCTCTATTGTGGTTTAATGATGATTTTACCCGTTATTATCCAAAATTTACTCTCAAAATGAAGCTTTTTGTAAATATTAAACTAGTTTTTAAATGAAATATCGTAATATATGAAACAGTACAGAATTGTGTTATAATATACATTTAAATAATTGACGTTTTGAAAGTGGTCCAGCTCTCCAGTTTACTAACAAGAGCTTATCTTATGTTGAAGAATTTGATACCAGAGATTTTGCTGTATTTCCTCCCAAAAATTTAAAAACAAACAATGAAAATTTGTATAAAATTTGCATGTGATATGTCGATTGATTTCTGTCGATTCGAAATAAATTTATCTCAGTTTAGCTATATAAATATGTACAATATATCAAATAATTGACATATTCAATGAAATTTCAATTTCTGAATTTATTACATAATGTATTTTCTATACTTACATTGAGTTGTCCTGAATTATTTGTCTTTATTACCAGTGACATTCACACATCATCGATATATATACGAGGACACGAAGAACTACCTGCAGAGTTTAAAAATATTACAAAATTCGGTTTTATTAATCCAGAATTATTATATAATCACAATATCAGTAACAATAAGAAAAATAAAGGTACGAAACGTTATCAATAGTGAAAATCAATAAGTATTTAACGAATCAAATCAAATTAAAATAAATATTTATACGCACATTTTAGAATTGTGATTGAATTATATTTTAAATTCTGAAATGTTTTTGTTATCCAATTAATCGATCTATCTTAAATCTTCAAATTTACGTCTTTTTATACAGTTTTTCGTTTGTAAAGTATTTCGTGAAAGTCCTTCATTTACTAAAGTTAAAGGTAAGATAAAGGAATAATGCTGCTGTTAATTTATAGACGAATAGAGGTAGATCTTACATCTACTAATCGAAAACCTTGAACGTTAATGATCGAGATAGAAACTACATTCCAAACAGTAATTATGCATAAGTAAATGCATGTGGTCAGTGCATGTTGTGTGCATAAGAAAGTGAAGCAATGTTTACTTTTAATCAGAAGCAGCTTTCGGTAATGATTATAGATGTACAGTACATTTAGAAATGCACCATGTTTTTCTAGCAAACATATCGCTGATATCAGAAAAATGCATAATATAAATCTACTAGAATTTTATCAATTACACTAATGGAAAATATTGATTTGTCTAAGAGAAAATTTATTTTTTAAAATCTCGTGGAATGTACATATATATCTGTTTTTAAAAAGTCACTCTATATATAGAGAAAGCAAGATGAGTGCGAAACGAGTTAATAATTTCATGCTTTGTTGAATTTGCCACGTCACATCAAAAAGTACATTTGCGAATAAATTATAGAAAACATATCATAAATACTTTTTAATATTTACTGTAATTTTTCGATTCAAAATAGATATATGTGATCAAAATGAAATAATATATTTTGAGGAATGGAACAATTTTATCAGCGTTTTCCTGTTACTCAAGGCATCTATAAATTTATGTTTAATTATGATTCAAATAATGAATATCTCAATGATAAATTTACAATCAAGGAAGTAGATGAAATTGTAAATAAAACTCGCAAAGACACAACACCAGGAAGTGACCTTATACCAACCAAATTCATAAAAGCACTACCAACTCAAGCAAGAGTAAAGTTGTTACATCTTTTCAATTCTATGTACGAAACAACCACTTATTCTGACTCCTGGAAATCAGTAATACTCGCAACGATATACAAGAAAGGTGATAAGCTTTCTCCAAATAATTATAGGCTGAATGCATTAATGTCAACTTTAAGAAAATGTTTTACATCACTACTAGCTACAAAATTTCAGTAGTGGAGCAAGATGATGGATACCGAAGCGAAGTTTCAATATGCCTTTTTCAAAAATAAAGGAACAGAATCTGCTATTTTCCTGTTATCACCCATAATACAATTTCAACTGAGTAAAAAACATAGAAAGATTTATGTAGTTTTTATAGATATTCAAAAAGCCTTTGATTCTGTTTATGTTCCGCTATTAGTGCATAAGTTAAAAGCTAAAAAATCAGGAAACCAATTTGCTATTACAATATTTAAGCTATTTTCAACTTATAACGAAACTATTAAACAGGGAAAATCTGTTTCTTTATCATTAACATTAACACGAGGAATACTTCAGGGTGACCCCTGTCACATTACTTATTCAACTTCTATTTACTTGAAATCGATCAAACCTTTCAAGATCGTTCAGATGGGATAGAGATTGGTGACAGAGTTTTTCACTATGTGTTATTTGCGGATGATCTTGCTGTCTTTGCTCCGACAAAAGTTTCAATACAAAGAAAAATTAATCACTTAAATTCTTATCTTAAATCAATTCACTAAACTATAAACTCTGTTAAAAGTAAAGTTCTTATATTCCGTGGCAATAGGCTATAAACATGCACCAAGTTTGTTTCGAGTTTGCAGCCAAAAGTTCCGAGTATGCAGTAGCTTTGTCAACGTAACCATTTAAATAATACGTGGGTTATACGAATTTTCTATAACAGTAATTTTCTCCACGTTAATTCTTATTCCTTTAGGTGAACAAAAATATTATGATTATATGTCATAAAATATTTAGAAGATTTTTATGATGAAAGACTATGCAATGAATTACAGTAGAGCATCGATTATCCGACTCAATTAGGGACTTGGGTTGGTCGGATAACTGAAAAAATCGGATAACAGAAAGGAATGAAAAAAATACATTATTAGTATAAGATAATAGCATATCCCATGTAATTAGTATATTAGTATTTCGCTATTAAGCTACTTCGCTTTGAATTTTCATCCATGTTAAACCTAACAAATTTTTTTAAAAATAATAATCGTGGTTATTGTATCGTTAAAAATTATTTTATTGCTCACAAAACAAACAACCACTCATACTTAGAAAATTAAGTCTCGTTTAAATACTGGCTTACCTTTCATGGCGAACCAGTGTTGCCAGCTAAAACACGCAAATATTAACAAAAATAATATTAAAGTAGCCAAGACATAGCCAAATATTGTAGCGCCACATCACTAGCGGACATTTGAAATTTGCCGACTAGAACGGTCAGTTAACTGATGTGACGGTTAATCTGGGGTCGGATAATCGACGCTTTACTGCATTTGTATATTGTTATAACTTTGCAAAGAAAGTCATGTAGTAATATGCATGCAAAAATAAGTATCAATTTTTCTTTCAGTGATTTTATTGTTATTATTTTACTCAATACATATTATTGAAGCTATTCATATAAACATTATTTTCTTCAGCCTACTGCTCCGTGAGATTAGGAATTGAATTTTCGTGGGCAAATTTCTTCGAATTTCTCATGGGTGGTAAATCCCATCTTTACAAATAAGATTAATACAAATGATAAATAACAGTTTCATGATTAAGATTATGTTTAAAAGCATTTGATATGAAATATGTGTAACAGAAATTATTATTATTTTATTAAGTTATTTTTACTTTTCCGGCTGTTCAATATAACAGGGGGATTGTGTGGATCAGATAAATACGACTGCAAAAGACTTTTACAGTTTTTGGACTCAGAGAACCTGGAAACGTCGTCGAATGCATAATTATATGGGTTTATTTTCTGTTTGCATGGATGTCAGTTGTATGTGGCACCACTTTATTCACCCATATTAAATCTTTATAACTTCTGTGCCTTTTGTCGTAAATTTATGAAATTTAACACGGAGGTTCCTGTATTAATGCTATTAAATATTAGTAATTAAAGGTCGAAAGGTGTGGTGCTACAGATGGTATTTTCAGTAGGATCAGATTTAATGAAGATTTTACTTATTATTTTTTAACACAGATTATCTATTATACAGAATTTACTTTTACTAAAAAAAGTATACATTAAACATTTTTTGAGAAAAGCTCAAAAACGAAAGAGAGTGTGGATAACATATAGCCACATAAAATAAGGAATATTGGACCAAGAAAATCTTCGTAGGTCAAAGGACGTACTGCGGAGGATTCTGCAATTTCGTTCGATTCCTTTGTATGAAAATCGATGATGCCAGCTTCAAACAATCTCGAAACACTAAAAATATTTTTTATATTATATCACACAATATGTAATATTGTAAATATTTACATTTATAAACTATTTTACATTTTTGATACCGCATTATTATATGGAAATTCTTTAGATGATATATATGCTGTTGTAAATGTTGCAAAGGCATCTCTTGATAAAAGAAATTTCTCAGATCCATGTTTTTTCATGAATACTTTAAAAGTGTCGTCGTAACCAATCAATGCAAAATGACCTTCTAAAACACGTTGGAATCCGTCTTTAACATTGAAATAGTTATTTCGTTGTCTAATGTGATTAGCCAGAACTTTCACATCATCTAATTCTGAGCTCTGAAAAATATTTATTAAAATAATCTCATTTTAATTCATGTTAATTTGTAACTTGTAAATTAAAGAAAAATTTAAATAATATACTTAGGGGAGATCGGGGCAACTTCGGCATGCGGGGCAAGTTTGTCAAGCGCTTTTTTTTAAAAACAAATTAAAAGGAGACTTTGGTTATAGGTTAGGCAGTTGAGTTTTATTGGTGGCTTGTTGAGTGTAGTGTTTTTATTGTTCTCCAACAAGCGTAGTTGAATTATCANTTTAGTATCAAAAACGTAAAATATTTGAGTAGCCCAAGACATAGCCAAAGATTGCAGCGCCACAGCACTGGCGAAAATTTAAATTCGCCGACTGGAATTCTTTCGGATAATTGACTTTCGGATAATCGACGCTCGACTGTATAACCATCCACAATAGAGGCATTCTGTGTCATTTGTCTTTTGTTTCCTATTAGGCCTACCCTTGCTGAAGGGGCCTGTTTGTCGTCTCTGTAGCAATAAAGTCTGCCTCCGAAAATACTTTTGGATTCATAGGTCATATTCATGGTCAACCTGGGGCTAGACGGGTACCCCATCTTGCCCCCAACGTACACTTTTCATACGGACTCCAAACACAGGTAAACTTCATTTCAAAACTAAACAGTCTTAAAGGTTACTTCGAATACCATAATATCTTCATCTAAAAGGTAATGTAAAAGTTCACAATGATACTTACTTTGTAGAAACTTTTTAGCAGGCGTAAAATTAGATGAAGTATTGCTGAAACTTTGAAAAACGTGTCTTACTTCCAAACAAAGAGAGCGATTTGGACGTTCTCTCGCTCCATGATCCTTTCCAGGTAGACATTTAGTTCCCCAAATAACAGCTAGATAAAAGCACATTAACCACAAATAAACAGACGTCCCCGTCTTACCCCATGACCCCATCTTGCACCACCTTTCCCTATATATGAATGTAGGTCGGCCGGATGACCAAGACAGTTAAAGGTATAAAGCCTATTGCTGTGGTAGACCCGAGATCAAATCCGGGAGATCAAAAACTACAGAAAATTTTCGAAGAATCTGTCCCAGATATGTCGGAATTGAATTGATGATATAAATGAAACATAACACATGGGCAATCTACCAAGGGGAATATCTTTCGGGAAGACTTTCTACGGGGAAACTGGCCCCTAATTAGTTGTTAGACACGTGAAGAAATCCGGAAAACTCTATGCAGCCAGCCCGTTAGTGAGACGCAAATACTCGATCGAAGAAGCATCAGTGTTCAGTGATTATCTACTCGGCTGCTAATGGGCCGAATATGTGGGCCCCGTCCCTTTTATACACCTGATCAAATTGATAATAGATATTATTGATAAAGGCGCTCTTACTGCTCATCGGCGAAAAGAGTAAAAAAATGAAATATATGTATACTGTACTGCTACATAAAAGAACTTAGTCAGTTCTTATCTGTTTCAACGAACTGTCCCTGTTTTAATACTTCATATCCTTTTAAAATTCTTTTAACTGTTCTTTTTAAAAAATTTTTAGTTTCAAGAAATGTATATTTGTTCGGTAATATGTTCACATTAAATTATATGACGAAACATAATATTTTGTGTTGGTAAAGAGAATAATCAGAAATTAAAAATTTGGCCTGTTTCTAATAGTAAATGTGTTGTAATTAAATTTATAATTTACTATAACATATTAAGCTATATAAATTTGTTAAAAATATTCGAGCGGACATAATTAAATCGCTGTTATAATTAGACCAATTTGTTTAAGTCATAAATAACGCAGATCCACCTCTGTCATACATATTTAAAAGTTCAACTGATACGGTATACTGTAATAATAAATTTCGATTTTAACATAACGATTTCCAACAAAATATCTAAAATCACCTTATAAATATTAACAAAGTTATAAATTTAAAATGATATATAGATTATATATATCATTATAAAGTATTTTTTGTAGCATATTATCGATCGATACTTAATACCTTTCATAAATTTTCGAGATCGATGAGATCAAAAAAGCACGGATAAGACAGAAACAATCTGGTGTATTGTTACGTTATTCTATATTATTATACACCGGTTGCCATAACTTTCCATGAATTTCTCGATATAATCAAATACATCAATTTATATAAATCAGATTCTAAATAAATACTCATATGTTAATTTCAAATTAAAATAATTTAATGGTACAGTAATCCAATTTTTATAACAAATTAAATAACTATTGTTAAAGAGCTCATTAAGAAAATTAAATAATAAATTTTCTATTTCTATTGGGAACGAAACAGTTAGATCATTATTATTTATATCACGAATTTCACTGGTTTCAGACTAGTATTTTAATTATACAAATGAAATGTAGTCATATATTATTATTAAAACTTTAGAATGTCATGATGAATAACATGACAACGTAATCATAACAAATTTTTTTTTTTTTTTTGCTAGAAAGGAATAGATTCATTTTAACAATAACCTTTTTTTTATTTTTGGGTCACTTTGTCTTATGAACACTGAAAGAACCTTTTTAATTATCCATTGTGGGTTCCGTTAGGCCTTCAATGAAAGCTGCTGAGTGTTGGAGAGGAGTCCTACATATGCGGGAAGACCGTCCACGAAACACCTGGGGAACACCTGGAGTGTTGTGACCACTGGAATTCGATCCCAGATATCCCAGAATGGTAAGCTGATGCATCTCGATGAATGAATCTCGAACACTGTGTAGTAGAGATAACAGAGACTTATCATACTGTTACTGAGGACAAAATGCAACTTTATTACTGGTATGCATTTCGGTCCAAAAGCCCCATCAGACATACATGAATATAGGCCTATAGTTATATGTTTTAGATCTACACCAAAAGGCAATGCTTATCAATTACAATTATTTCTACTACACAGTGTTTGAGATTCATTCATCAACAATCATTGAGACAAGAAGCTATATATTAATGATGCATTTCGGTTACTCGGCTTCAACCAAAAATCTCAATTAAAATTGAAATTTTATTATTTAAAAATGATAATTATTTAAAGTAACCAGTTTTACTAAAAATTCTCATCACGGATTGAATTCGTTTTAATTTTAAACGCATAATTGCAACAACGATCTCCACTAAATCAGTAATATAGACTCCAGTTTTACGTCTGGCATAAATTTTCTTTAATGACTGTATAAAGTGACGTATTTAAAAGCTATATTTTTTATTGATCATTTCTGTGTAGTGCTTCGTAATTAAAACGAAACAGAATCTCAATTTAGTACACTGAGCTTATAATAACTATGACGGCCCGGCTTAACGACAATTCGCTTTGTGGAAACTGATTAAATCGTAAAAACGAGGTTCTACTTTACTTAAATTGCTTTCTCTATTTGTCTAAAATGTGTGGCGTTTTATGAGACTACTGGATGACCAGATGACCGCCTACCACTCTGGAGAACCGGGATCGAACCGGACAGTGGAGAAACGAATTTTTTGGCAGGTAATCTGTCCTGGATATTTCGAGCCCCCATCCCTCACCACCCAGACGCTTCCATTGTGGGCCTGGCCGAATCCATGATAAGCCTGAAAAAAGGCTCTCTCAATGCCCATAGAACGGAAAAAGTCAAAAATAAAAAAGATTATACAGTCGATCCCCCTATAACGCGGTAGATACGTTCCACTTTATAAGAATTTCGCGTTGTAGGAATTCGTAAATACATGAGCCAATCACAGCCCGGCACGTGTGCAGTTTACGGACTACGGCTGTTTGAAAGGTTTTCTTCCATAAAATTAATCGATTCTAGACTAATTTGACTCAACATTTCCAAAGCACGTATAATTTTTTGGGAATAATCCATATAAACTATGCTATAAACAAATAATTGTAGGATTACTTACCGAGTGTGCACCGTTCGACGACGCCATTGCTTAAGCTTGTTTTCGTCGCGGAGCAGCGCACCAAACGGCGGGCGCGCTTTCTGAGAAGTTATTTTTCTGCGAAAAATTCGTTGAACTTTGGAGACATCATTAATAGAAATAATTTTTATGGCCGTTGAATAAGAAATATTTTTTCACAAGAAAAGTATAAAATTACAGTACTGTATTAGACTTACAGTACTTAATTTATACACTGTACAGACGATAGTAAACTCAACTTACCCGCCTAAACTCTCTGCAGCGTGTAAGTAGTTCGGCTGCTCGTCCACTATTGGTTCAGTCGCGACACGAGTCGGCGATGACGTTTTACCGCATTTTACGAGCCTCTGTTAATATCTTTATACGAATACGGTCGCAATTTTTTGCTGCGATATACGAATCCGCATTATATGAACCCGCGTTATAGGTGGTCTACTGTATAATAAGTTTACTGTATGAATCATTGTTCATAATTGTTAATTCTTTTCAATTCCGACAATATTATGTAAACATATTCACACATTATTTTATATATTAAAAATATAGGAAAAATGTTCTATTAATATTTTTATGTAAACTCTCTTATCATTTCTAGACGATAGACAAAAGTTATCATCTCGCAATCAATACAATATGTTATATTATAATGATATGAAACTTGAATTCTAATCGATATTTAATACCCTACATACGATTATCTTCTGTTACTAAAATAAATTAAGTCGAAAAGCCAACGATCTATCAAATATTCTCCCAGACGCGTTAAGCCAATAATCTATTAATGAGTTTTTTTATTTTAATCGCGTAATATGACGATTTAAAAAGTAAAATACAAAAAGTAAAGTTACAAACCTGAGTAATTTGACCGTTAATCTTCCCTCCGGTTTAATCTCCACTGATTTGCCCCATTTTAATTTGGGCTGCATGGTTCCAAAAAATTCGAAATGTTCGGAATCTGCATGGAAAGCGCTGATGGGTGGATGATGACTCACCTGTTCACACATTATCCTAAAACCTAGGTCATCCCTATAAATTTAAATAAGGTTTTTCAAGAGGATAAAGTTTGAATGGAAATGTGGTAGGGGGAAGTTCTCTTACCTTACCAACTCATAGGTTTCCCCGAGAAGTGGATTAAAGGGCTTACTCAGTCTCTGCCAATTGGAAGCCAAAGCAGAAACGGCGAAGGCAGCAACATACTAAAGATAAACAATTTTCTTTGTGAATAAATTGCAAGTTAGTAATTTAATTGTAGATTCATTTTCTTAAATGGCAAATAAAGAAGAATATATTTTTACTGTACCTCTATCCTCTCCACGGCGTCGTCAGCCTGATTGGCTTTCTTTAATAGATAACTGTATTCCATATATTCCGTTATTCTTTGCAGGAAACTGAGTGGCTCGTTAAACACAACGGGCATAGCTACCTTGGACAAATCCTAGAAAAAATAAATAATTTTAGACAAAAATCGAACAAAATTTGTATTATAACTGCTTTGCTTACTTTTCCGATGCAATTTTTTAAGATGCTCCAGACGCTTACGTCATCATCGGATGTTTTTGGCACGGGTAACTTGGTTCTAGAAATATGCCAAAATTATTGCTTATTGATTTTAATAATGTTTTTCCATTGACCATTAAAGCTGAAAAAATCAATGGTTTATTTTTACATAATTAACGATCAAACGACACAGCAGGATTCTTATCGGGATAATTACTTATTAAGATACTAAGTAATTTTGACGAAAGAATTCGCCTGTATCGTTTTATTAACATATATCGAGCTTGGTAGCGTTGCCAATTTAGCTATTTTTTTGGTTAGCTAAATTATCAAAATTATAATGACGCTATCTAGCTATAAAAAATGAATTATAACAGTATTATTGGAAACAGTATTATTTGGCTATTTTTACTGAAATGTCTAGCCATAAATTTGAGTTGGAGACATTAGATTGGTTTTATAGTTAAGTAATTAACGATCAATAACAAAATCAAATTAACCGATATTAATCGATAATGAAAATCGATGGAAATTTTTAAAATACACTCGAAATTTTAAGATATATTGAATAAAAACACTTCTTAAAATATAATTGATTTTTTACGTGCACAAAAAAGAAGTACGGGTAAAATATACCCGTACTTTAAATTTGACACAATATACAGCATCATCAGGCTGAAATTATTTTTATACAGATTTCGTATAAAATGATTTATTATTATAATCACGAAGGTTTATACAAGGAATGTGAAAATTACATATTTATCTTCTGTTATTAAATTTACATCACATAAAGACATACCCCTATATTTATCGCAAACGAAATTGAATTTCTATAAAATTTAATTACAAAGTTAATTAAGTTTCATAGAAATTTTATAGAAGTAAATTTTCAAAAATTAAATTTATCGAAGAACTAAGACAACCCAACATTTGGGCACTCTGCCAACATAGGATGTCTCCAGCAGAACTTTTCACAAGAAACTTGATCTTTCCCATCTCTCATATGTCGAGATGTGTGGAGCAAAAGTCTAGAACTCCGAATGGTTAACACATTAATGAAGCGCGAGCCCTCGAACAACTATCACTGTTCACTAGATTTATCTACTTTTCCACTGGTGAGCTTTACACGTGGAACATATCTAACACACACTGAGTTTATTATACACATTTCAGAATTTTAAACTTATTTGAATTGTTGTTAGTCCACTCAATTTAAATAAGGTTTATAGAATAAAAGGTTTATAGAAAGCAGAAAACACAAAAACAGCATTTCTCACTTTAATGAGAAATATGGTAATGAAATTATTATAGAAATATTTTAGTGTGTAGTTTTGTATCATGTTTGCATATTTCTAAACATGGAAGATGGAATAAGTCTGACAGTTATTGTGAAAGAAAGTATCATACTAACTAGCTAAAGATGTCGCTTTCACCTATTCAATGCAGATGGAATGATAGTTGCAACAAAGAACATAAGATAAGCAAAAAGAAGATGCTGTCGTTTATGAAAAACATCAGCCCATGAACACAGATGTCTCAGCAGACTCGTTAAAAAGGCTTCATTTTACGCATCTGAATATATGCATACAAGTATTTGTAGTTGTTTTAAGTATTTTATTTATATCAAAAATACAGTATTGATTACGATGACATTTAGTCAAAGGATTGCCTTTCTAGATGTCAAAGACAGAGGATCCAATCGGAAGACTATAGTCAATTGACAAGTGTAATTACAAATTTAAAAGATTTAAACATAACTCACAAAGGCTTACTGTGCAATAGGTTTTCTGATCGTTTTTGTAGATGTTTGCAAGATAGAGAAACGTATATGTTGGATACAATTGGAGGAATATATTTTAAAATTTAGGTAAAGCAGTACAGTGAGTTATATTCTAAAAAATAAAACGTATATTTTCGAGGGTCTGATTCTAAGAGGAGATATTATCAATACTTATGGCTATCTGATTTTTACAGAGAGAAAATATTCGTTATGTATTTCTGGAATAAATACCTCATTTAGATGAGTAATATCTGAGTGGTTGGTCCCAAATAGTATAAAATAAATGCGTATGCTTGTGTTTTAAGTCATTGTCTACATTGTAAATATGATCTTTGGAGACATTGTATTTAGGAGTTTCAGTTTTTTAATTAGAAAATCTTGGTAGGAACTAATGATTGGTCCAAGGGTTATGAGCATGGCCTTGAGTGATATCGTGCAAAAAAATTTTTACATTTAAGTGTACACTTAAAATAATATTGCTGTTAAATTGCTCTATATACCTATAAATACATAGAATTTCTACAAGTTTATTTTTATTTCAGATAGTAATATTTACTTACAGTATCTTTCAACTTTTTAAATATAAGGCGCTAACATTTATTTATTGTTACAGTTCATCATCTTTAATTTTTTAAATGTTTCTGTGGTAGATTGAGAACATTTGTAGAATTTCAATTTTTCTGATAGAGATTTGGCAGATTGTGGAGTGATCGAAGCCAAGCTGAGAATTAAAAACAAGGTATGTCGTTGGATAAGGTAAAGTACCAATTTTTACGTGACCATTGCCACCAAAAGTAGTGATCGATCGGTACCATCAATTGTTAAGCAAAACTTCGAGGGTACCGATTCATCGTTACCCCAGTAAAAATTAATTTTTATAAAATTTATNATGAGGCAAACATTTCATCTTCAGAGAGTAGTTAGAGTAAGAGTTAGGACTCCGGCAATCATCTCCATGACCTCTCTCTCGATGGTCATGAATACGTTATTTTAATAGACATTTTTCAATGTATAAAGTATCAATTATTAATAAATGTACAGTGTTTTCCCGCCTATAATTTACGATAGTGTATGCTTCCACAAAAAGTTGCGATAACGACTCGCATAAATAATTTAATCCTTACTTCGCTTCCATGAAAGCGTACATTGTTAAATAGGCACCAGTATATAATTGCAATTAAAAACGGCACATAACCTATTTTAAATTGTTTTTTTAACATAGAAAATTCGAAATAATCATAGGAAAATACTTCACATAAATATATTTAGAATTTATAAAAGCAAATAAAATTAAAAACTACAGCAAAATTCATACGTAATTCTAATATTTAATCTTTTTAAGTTTATTTGTATTAATACATTTTCTAAAGACACGAGTGAAGAATTTAGATTTTAAAAGATCATATTGAAAAATCTTTACCATGATGAATTTCTGAATCGGTCCACCTGGTAATACGCCACACACGTATTCTCCATTTTTAACTGTTAAGGCTAATTCCTGTACAGTTCTGGGTACCAAATCAATAATTGGAGATGTCATGAATGATGTTAATTTGCTATTATAACAGGAAAGTATGACCACAACAGAAAGCAGCCATATTCCAATCATTATTCTTGCAGCAAGTCGTTTTACATTGTTTAAATTACCTCCTAAATTATATTAAAAAGAAAAAATTCTCACCTGTTCCACAACAAACATCTAAGACTGTAGAATTCTCACTAAAATCGCCCAATTCAATTATAGTGTTAAATAAAACTTTAGCTGCTGCCGTGTTTACTTGGAAGAATGATTCTGGAGATATTCTGAATTTCAGATTATCAACATTTTCTACAATGTAAGGTTCTCCATATATAAGTTCAAATGGAGCTTGTTCATGAGTACACCTTGTATGAGGACTGTAAAATAAATTTTAATATATAAAAATATAATATATGATATTTCAATAATATAAAATCTCAGCATTAGTAGTATAATAAATTTCTAAATAAAATAAATTTATGGTAATTACTATTAATTGATAACTGATTAATTATATAAGATCTTCCAAAAAGAATGTTACCATTTAAAATTTTTGAAATCGTGTTAATTATTATCTGAGAATGTAATATACATTAAAACATTGGAAATCTGACTAAGTTTCCCATTTGGTCATTATAATTTCTCAATATGTTCACCATGTGTCACACAGCACATATCCAACTGANACGTAACCATCTGTAAGTAGTTTTGTTGCGCTTATATGTGATACCTCTGTTGTTCGACCTGAAGGCGTTTCTACAGGTGTTATCTAATACAGGTAGGCCTCCTACAACGCAGTAGATACGTTCCTTGGAAATACCGCGTTGTGGGAAATCGCGTTATAGGAGACACCAACTTAATACAAAAACTGGGATTCGGTTCTAAAAAGAGAGAAACGTGGCGTTTGCATGGCGTTTTTAAAATTTTTCAAACCAGCCATTGCTAGCCACGAATTTAACACCGGTTTCATCAGCTGACGACTGTCCCATTTGTTTTAAATAATCAAATATTTTTAAGGCTTTGTGTTTACGTGCAGTTTTATTTAAAGGCAACCGTTTCTTGTTCATATATTCTACCCATTATATTAGCTCTTGTTCCATTTTTTCCATTATAGGTTCTCTCGGACGAGCAACATTTTTCGCAATAATAGATGATCCGGATGATCATCTATTCTTGCAAATTTCTGATCTTTTCTCCCGACCGAATCGTCGACTTATTTAAATTAAAATTCCTACCGATATCAGTTATACGCTCTTGATTTTTAATTCGATCCAAAATTTCTATCTTTGTTTGAAGATTTATAAATTTCTTTTTTAACGACGGTCCTTTGTTTTCATTCGGCATTGGTATGGCTAAAATTTTTTCAATCAGTTTTGTGTACAGTAAAAATCGCAAAAAATAACTTCCTTTCACTATGTTGTTAAAAATATATACCCAATAGTAGTTTATTCTGTATTTTGGACCATTTTGCAGTCCCCACTTATTGAAAGAGTATAAATGATCGAAAATTTAGTGATATATTTGAGTGTTTACGGTAATTGATGCACATCTGTCTAGAAACCGGTTTTCCCTTGAAACTTTCAAGGGAATAAACGCCAACGTTTACAAACAGCTGCTTTCAAAGACTTTTAGCTCTGTATGCCAAACTGCGGCTTGTATCACGTGATCCGTTGCGATTTTTCTGTTATGTGAAGATAATTTGTTTCTAAATACCGTAAACCGCGTTGTAAAAGTACCTTGTTGTAAGAAAATTTCCGCATTTTTCCAACTGCGTTAGAGCGAAAACGCGTTGTAAAGGTACCGCGTTGTAGGAGGCCTACCTGTAATTTATTATATGTAACAGGAAATATTACAAACAGAATGTGTTTGGGTTTCCTGCAATATCTAAGTGCTGTATGTGGTAATTAACAATTAACCATGGTATGGCTGTACCCGTGCGCAGCAGCGATGCTTTTGATTCTGTTCAATTTTTTAGTGCTGCCCCTTATGTCTGTGATGTGGGTATATACTCTTTTCATTAGGGTCTTAAATGCTGCTATTTTATATTTGGGCGAATCATTTGAACAGCTAGGTATGTAGTATATTGCGTGATTGGTATGTTTAAGATAAAAAATTGTATGGATTTCGACATTCAGTAGGGTGATGCTTAAATCGAGGAAATGTGTTCTCACATTACTCAATTGGCCTAAGGTTATTATCAATTCATACGAATTATTATTGAAGGTGTTCACAAACTGCTGTACGTTTGGTTTTTGTTCAATATGATTAATATATCATCGACGAAACGTTTTTATAGTCAAATGTTATTTGGATTTTTGGAATTAGGGTACTCTCCATACTTAGCACAAGCTCGCAAAGTAATCCTGCCCTAAGACTACCCATTATGACACCTTTTTGCATGTATACTTCGCCCTAAAATTGAAAGAAAAATGTGCAGCATATTAATTGTACTATCTCTTTCAAAGTTTGGACATGGATGGCCTGAATGCTCTGCCCTTGTACGCTTCTACTTAATTGCTTATGTAAACTATCATGACAAGGTTGTAGTTTAATTGAAGGGTATAAGTTCTGATATATGTATTCATCATCTGTTAAGACTACTGCCTTAGTTTCTTTGCCAAATGGACTAGGTTAGTAACGCTGAAAGCTGTGTATAACCGTCGGTCCTTTATTAGATTGTATATGTATTTTTCTAATATATGTCAGCAAAGCACATTTCTCTACTACCGGTCGTAACTGGTGTCCTGTTTTGTGGGCTTTAGCAAAACCAAGAAACCTATATATACCCGGTGACCTAATTTTTACCCATTCAATTAACGGCAGCAGATTTACCAGCTTAGAAGATTTTCTTGATTACTTTTGTATGTGTAAAGGTCAGTATATTTCTGCTTACTAATGTGCACTTTTATTTTTCATTTTATTTTTAAGCATACTTATTTATTTATTTTATTCTGTATACCTTCGGAAGTGTTGTACACATTTACTGCTATTTTCAATTAACCAATTCTATGTATTTAAATAATTCCTGTTTAGAAGGTAATATATAAACGTTAAAAAATTCTATTCAAAATGTTGGATCTGGACAATTGTTACACAGATAGTTGAAAGCGTTAGATAAAATTAAAAAATTGCTGCTGAAATAGGTTTTTTCTCTTTAAGTTCTTAGAATAATTCAGTTAAAGCTCAATACACAAAAAATGTATTTAAATTTACAATATTTTATGCAACATTTCTAAATTTTTACCTTGATTTGCAGAAGACCCGAATAAGAACCAAAACGTCTTTCCTCTCGACCATGTTTCATGAGCCTGACTCTCAGAAAAATTTGTGTTTATTACTCGATGCAAAATCAATCCGAATACGATTATGGATGCAATTAATATCATCCAAATCTACTTGAAGAAACGCAGTCTAAAATTTTTATTTTGTGTCATATAAAGAAAGAAAACGTATCATACCTCATATGAAAATGAATTAATAATGGATTTCCAGTTGGGATTTTGTGCAGGAGTCTTGACTATAAACAAGAAATTGTTGAAGGTAACATGAGAAGAATAATGCAAAATTCTAAAAAATTCATAAATAACGATACTTGGAACGTAGGCAAATTCCGCTTCCTATAAAATAAAAGATTTATAATATTGAGTTCATTACAAAACTTACATTTAAACCATGTACCATAGTCTAGTACTGACTTTTCATATGGATATAACAAATTAGCAATGGCCATTTGCTTGCTGAATGGTAAGGAAACTATTGCATCCTTTATCTTGTGGGAACTTAAAAAAGCTGTTTTATAAAGCCAAGATTTGATCGAACCAAACTGTGAATGCCAAGTAATGAGGATGGACATATGACACATACATTAAGACTTCCGGGTTTTGTTTATATCTCGGTTTCGAATTCGGTTTTCCCAAATCGGTAGATTAAAGCGATAACCGCTTTACCTATACGATTAACTATAAACAGGACAGAAGTTTAAGCTATATTAAATAGCTAACGCCTAGATTTTATAATCCACCTTATATTTCTAATTCACTTTAAAAACGCTATTATCATAATATCGCATGTTCAAAAAATCATATTTTTTAAAAAATTTTCATGTACTGTATAGCACATATTTGACACAACGCGAAAGTTTTCGTAATGTTCAAGGTACACGTAATTTTTAAATAAGCAATTATACTTCATTAACCGAAATAAGTTAAAATTTTGCATGAATTGTCATGCTGAAAAGCTGCAGAATTTTTAACATTTGTTGTTTTTAAAGCTGTATGCATTTTTATTTAATGTATTTTGATAAGTACTGTACTTAGTAAGTAAATACTGTATTAACAACTCCAGTTCTATCAGTTAATTAATATGTAGAATAGGACAATTCGTGAGATTTAATTATAAAAAAGAATAAAGTAACTATAATTAACAACATACATTATTTATGAGTTGTCCGTACATTCCTATTGCAGAACCATTTTTGTCTCTTCCGCCGAAAGTCTTTGGAATTGGTTTTACTATTTTATACCTGATAAAACAAACAAAAGAAAAATTTAGAAATCGTTTCATTTGTAAATATTCCTAAAAATGAAAAAAATAAATGGAGAGTGAATCAAATATCCCTTGAGCCTTTTACATTTGAAAAGTACTGAAGATATATTATTTTACATGATACTAATTAAAGGAGTGTCAGGATTTAATTAAATGTAAAAATAACTGTCAAAAGAACACATTATTTAAGTACATGTATAAAGTATGTGCCATCAGCAGTAATACATTGAAGGGCATAAAGAATTATGAAAATCATTTATAATGTCAATGGAAAAACATCCTTTGTAATTGCAATAACAAAAATTAATATATTTTCAGTGATTTTGGAATGAAAAGTAAACAGGACTTTTAACTCATCCAGTGGTTTGAAACCGTTTGGCTACTAGTTGGCCTAAATTTTATTTTGAAACGATTAATATTGGTCTCTTGGAATATAGTTGTTTGGAAATATTTTTTGAAAACATATTGATCTTTTATGAATTGAAATAAAATATGAACTTACGTGAATTTTAATCTTTCTTGCAGAATTTTAAACAGTTCAAAATGAAAACCAGAAACAATATGTTCTTGACTATCGTCAAGTTTTATTACGTATTCGAGCTGTAAGATATTTAAACTTTATTATTTATTTCATTTATAAAGTTTTATTTTATAAATTAGATACTACCTGAATTCCTGCAATTTTCCAGGGTAATTTATCTGTTTCATTTTCGGCTAAATGAAATAATAATAGTAATAAAATACATATACATAAGTTTTAAAATAAAATTATTCAAATATATAATTCGCAAATACACTTGTTTCTGATGTTTATCCAAAATAAACTTGAATTAGACCGAATCGATTGAATAAGGCAATGCAAATTATTGGCGATCTTTCATGGGGAAAAATGCCTACTTGGCATCTCCCCATGGATAAGAAACATGGGAAACTAATTTTCATTTGTCACGAGATGAAAACCCGGATCAACCCGTAAGAAAATAACCCGTAAACCAGATGAAATCTTCAGACTAATTCAAAAAGAAAAAAACTGCAAAACACTTTTGGTCATGGATTTGTGTCTCACCAATGGTCTGTCCATGTGGAGTTTTTCAGGTATTTTTCACGTATTTTAATATACATATTTCCAGCATCTGATACAAGATTCTATTATGAGACAGTTCGTTTATGCGTTACATTGCTGACAACATTTTTTCGATTAATCATGCAGAAAATATTTTAAGATATACAAAAAGACAACAATTTATTTCGTATGGGAAAGACAAACGATTTATATTTTGTTTTTTGACAAATTGAATTATTAGTGTAATTAATTTGTACAGCGTTTAGAGGTTCTTTATGCCACGCTCATCCAATTTTTAATAATGTACTCATTAAATTTAAAATAAAAATACGTATGTGTAAGCAAATTAGTAAAAATTTTTAAAAACTACATTTAAATATATGCATGAGAAGAATAATGC